AACAAATAAAGTAATTAGAAGTTTTCTTCAGGCAGAGGGAGGAGCAGAGGCAAAGTATGTAATAAGTTTTGTCTGAACTGTTTTCCTTTGGTAATGCATGCCCTAGAGCTGTGTACTCAGCTGGGTTCAGTGTAATTGTTCCTATCACCGCAAAACCTTTGGGACCAGCCCGAAACAGAGCAGGCGGGAAGCACCAGCGCTCACACCATGCCCCTTCCCTAGCTATGTCTTGTACAGTAGCCTTCTTCCTTGGCCGGTTATTTCTTAATCGAGTGAATGAAGCTTAGAGGCTGATTCTGAAGATCCTAAGTTTAAACCTTTCTGACAGCCTGCATGGGTGAAAGTAGTGTGTGATCATGTAATTAAACACACTGTAATAATGCAGTTACTCAATTAACTTTGTACAAAGGAAGTTTACTCCAGCATTCCCTAGTTTTTACACTGACAAACTTTACCTTTCTTTGATACAGGCTCTAAGAAGTTATCACAAGGAGGGTGCTTATAGGATCCTATTTTCACTTTTATATTTACTTTTGCCAGACTATGACAGTTTTGCCTTAAAATATTGTTGCCCTGCCAGCTTGCTGTAGGCTGCAGGAAGTTTTGTGTTTATCCACACGCTGGAATATTTTAGTGAAAACCTTCAATTATTTAAAAGAACAAATGAAAATATGCAATTTTCTGTCTAGCATTTATGCTAGGGATGTGTTTTTGCTGTCCTGTGAAAATCCAGCCCTGCTTGGCGCAGGCACACTCAGTACTGCGTATTCAGCTTGACCCTTTTCGGGGGATGTACCTGCTTTTGGGACCAGGAGGTGAGCTGGTGCCTGTGCCCGCACTCTGGGCAGGGGCCACCGGGGCAGAGGAGAGGGCAGGGGGCAGGAAGGGGGGACAGAAAGCAGTGCCTGCAGGAGAAAGAAGGGCAGAAGAACAGCAGGTGGGAAGAAGAGGAGGACAAAATAGGGACTGAAGAGGGCAAGGAAGGGTGTCCTGGCACTGAATTTGGACCTAGGCATGGGAGCAGGGAATGGAATATGGGCATAAATGGGCAAGAGAAACCCAGGACTGGCAGGAGCAG